AATAGCCAGTTATCAAGAACTACCTATTTCACCTGTTTACCCTTTTCCTTCACTTTAGGAAAAGGTTTTTTGTATCATTTCATTGTCAAAAATATTCTAATGACAATTCAATAAGCATAACATCAATAACAATAATAACAGTATCGAAAGCAATGGTATTAGTTTTCCCGCCAGTTCAATGAATGGGAAAATCAGGGTTGGTAACTAGGGCCTACTGATAGACTCCTTGCCGGCTGAGCACATGTGGAGCCATCTGTAGGTAACAAAATTCACTAAAAACTACAGGGGACAGAATATAAATCTGTGGCGAATGGGTTAAGGCCATTCACATCAAAACAACTACTCGCACCACTTCTCCCAAAATCCACTTTATGCTGGATATCACAATTTCAATATCCCTACTATTACTATTGAAAACAGAGGCTAGTGTACCTCTTCTCACTGGATGTAATAAAAAATGAGTGTCCAACATGACCATCATTCCAATCAACTGTGTGGCTTAGGTGTGGTAATTTGGAAAGTTTCTGTGGCTGCCTTTTCCATGCACCTTGTTGCTAGTGTCTTATTATTGTCTCTTTGTTGCTATCAATATTATTTTCTTTGAGGTTTGACACTGAAGCTTGGTAAGTCTAATTATCTTTCCTTAAATGGAAGAAGAGACCTCTGGTGGATGAGTTAATTCTGTCTCTCACATGAGCAGGTAAAAGGCAAACACTGTACTTAAAATCTTTCCAGTTGCAAACCACCATTTTGGGACTTTAAAACAAAACATCAATATTAATTTTATACTCTAGATTGAACTGGTATTATACCGAGACCAAATGAATGTTCTAACAACACAGCTTAATCTAATGTATATCTGAACATTTTTATTTTGGTGCGAGCATTCCTTCAATGCTGAGGGGCATGTGTTTAGATGTATCTTTGTATGTTTTCCATGTATTTGTATTTGTGCATATGTATATATATTCATGTCTATGTTTATGCTTGGGTTTATATGTGTATGTCTATAAGCATTTCTGTAACAGTGTGTTTACCTTACTATATGTATGTAAGCAGGTCTGGGACTGTTAAGCTAGTGTATTTGAGGTAAGTCCCCACCCCTGAGAAAGTGTTTTTCCCAAATTGATTAACTGCTTAAACTGACCCCCCTTTCCTCCCCCAGGCAATCAGCTCACCAAGAACACTTCTAGTACTCGAGATGGCTAGTCTGTAACATTTTACATGTGTGTGTGTGTGTGTGTGTGTGTGTGTGTGTGTGTGTGTGTGTGTGTGTGTGTGTGTGTGTGTGTGTGTGTGTGTGTGTGTGTACACTCTTGTTTGTGTAAGTTAGTGAGATCATGAGTAAGGAGACAGAGTGAGACAGTGAGTGCATGAGTGAATAAGTGAGGGAATGAGTGAGTGTTTACCTTTGCATGTGTGTGTTGAGAAAGTGTGTTAGATTTTACAGCAACAGTATTGAAGTGTGAGGCATGGGAGACTACACAAGGAGAACAATGGAAGAGATCCAACATTAATTAGGAGATAACAAATATGTGTGTTTTGGATACCCAGAATGAGCACATTGTTTTCTGTTTCAGTCATTATACTCTAAGTAAGTAACAGACAGTAATATGTAAAATGACTGCTAAATAGATACATGATGGCAATAAAAATGTTGTCTGTAGCATGGTAGAGCCACCAGTATATACTGATCAATATAAAAAAATTATAAGTGTAAACAGATTAAAACCTTGTTTCTGTCATCTAATATAAACATATCAGGCCATCTCTCATAATGTAAAGTACGAAAAGCTTAAGAGAGCATTATCTACAGCACAGCTCAGTTCACTACATACCCTGACCAAAACATCTATCCAAAATTTTAATCAAACAGCCAATGCCATTTCATTATCGTTGCTACAGGTATTTATCATTTGGAATTTAACTATTATATCAGCTTATTTCCTTTTATTGGGGGAATAATTTTATGCAGTCCGGAAAAAATCAATCTACAGTTATCCCACTCAACAGGAGTAAAACAGCATTTAGGGCAAGAGTGTGCCTTGCCGAAACCCTAGCTTGCCAGGTTCTTTTATGTGGTAAAATCATTACACTATACAGCAATATATCAGTTCTACAGTGCCTAATATGTCGTAATTCTGGAAAAATGCATATGATATCTGCCTATATTAACTCTCAAAAATTTATTCATTATTATGTAACAAAACAAGTTTACTAAAACATTAACCAAATACCTTTCAATAATTATTCATTAAATTCATATATGCCACACAAAAATACTACAAGATGAAAATGTACATCTGCTTACTGATTTTTATTGATGGATGATTTACAGATTTACATATCACCTTTCCAGAAGTATGACTACAACATTTACAAAGCTAAAAAAGATCCAGTAGAGTTTACTAGGGAGCTTCTTGATATACACAGTATATAATCAATACCCATACAGTGCATATGTGAAGTGTTATCACAAACAAACTCATGTTGTGTCTGCAGTCACCTGTACATCCGCTTTGCAGGCCTGAGTGGTAATGAAGGTGTTATTCAATAAAATATCAATCATTAAAAGTACAAGATATTTGATATCACAATACAATTTTCAACTGGCACTTCACACAAAAGATCATATGCTTGTTTCATGTGCAAGTCATCCAGGAGTACTATCTTGAGGAGTTTGAATAACATACAAAACACTGATCAGGTTATTTATCTTCTATGAAAAGTCAATAAATTTTTGAGAATAGAGTTGTTCCAAAGAATTAGGACATTATAGACAATAAGAAAGGAAAGTACTAAAAATAAACAACTCCCCAACAATCATGTTGTTCAGGACAATTATTAGCAAATATATTCCTGAAAAGTTCAATAAATGAATATATATATTACAACAATAGATAATAACAATATGGTCCATGGGGGAGCATTTCTTCATAGAGCGTACACTGCAAGAATACAATGAGTCTTCAGTAGTATCTAGCAAAAGACAAAGTTCACTTGTAAACACACATCTCCCTCCTATTATATATGGATTTGCAACTCATTACTAAATCTAAACAATTATTTCTTCTGCTTGTTGCTGACATTTTATTTTTATACAAAAAGACATACAAAAATATATGCCTTGAAGATTAACAGTGTAGTACGATTGTTAAACTACTATCTGTAAAATAGAAAATATAAATTCAGTATGAAAGGATGCTTTTTTTGTGAATACTAGACTTAAAACTAAGAAATAATGATTACAATTACACGGGACCTCTTACAAAGCACCTTCAAATCATATCCTGTGTAGTTATGATATTACCAGAGGGTTATTCGTCGAAGTGATGGACTATTGATAATTACTTTTGCAGTATTAAGTGGCTTATTTAAGTAGGATTTTGTATATGTATCTTCTTTGTATCACAGGATAGTAAGCGTAACAGATATCGATATATCACATGCACAGTGGAACATACAGTGGAACATATTTGTCTTATTCATATATATATATATATATATATATATATATATATATATATATATATATATATATATATATATATGATGATTTTGGTTTAATGTCACGAGACATATACATATACACACATACACACACACATGCACACACACACACACACACACACACACACACACACACACACACGCACACACACACACACACACACACACACACACATTGGGACTATCTAGAACATTTTACATGGATTTATATACCAGACCTCCCAGTGGAACTGAACTCTTTTTATCTTTACTTCCTGTTTGCCCCTCTGTGTTTCAAGACTGGGCTAGTGTCTTTATTTAATGTATGTTCTTTGTTGGTTGCCATATAGTTCATGCGAGTTGCTTAGCCACTCTCCCCTTTGGAAGTGACCAATGTCAGGTGCTTGTTAATATATGTAAGATACCTCAACATGATCAGATTCTGATGGTTTCCTCATTGTGGACCTGCTAGGAACTGCACTGTGCACATGATTTATTCCCATGGGATAGCGCTGCACATTGCACGCCCTTTCCCGGGGACTGTGTCAGCTGTGTTGGGCAAAACAAATGTTATGGCTTTCCATGTCACTCCATGGCTTCTAAAGTTCTTTGTTTTACTGCCTTGCCTCACATCAGGCAAAGTTACTGGCCACCATTAATACTGATTTCTTAGAAGTCAATCCTTTGCTTCTTCTTGCTGATGACTCAGTGCAAATGATCAATCTGGGAGTTAATTAGCCCTTCGAGGTGATTCCCCAGACAGAGCATGAGAAATCTGATGGATGGAAAATTATATTTCTCTGTCTGTAGAGGTTTGACACAAGCAGAGATCCCCTTTCATGTTCTCTTTGTTTTAGTTTGTGTGTGTATGAGTTGTACTTACACACATACAATATGTCAATTCATAAACAAAAGGCAACAAAACAATTATAAATGTAGATTCTATATAAATATCATGCAACTGCAAGGACACTTACTGGTCAGACTGTAAGTAAGTGTAACGCAACAAAATCTTGGCAAAGTCTAGTTCTGTGATGGCAGGCAGGCCCTTCGAAAATTCATTGAACTCAATCTCCAGTACTTCTGTCTGTAGGTTTTCCATAAACCTGAAATAAAGATAATAAAATCCACATTAGACAATAAAGATGCTTATTTATTTCTGATATGTGGCTTTAAACAAAACCCTTAATTAGTACTTGTGTACACCAATCATACAATGAAGTAAAAAAATTGTGCTTGAAGTTGCAGCTCAAAATCATTAATTTTGTGGAATTTACAAATTATTACATGTAATTAATCCTGTGATGCTATCCTTGTATATTTACTAAAAAGCAAACTGAATAACCCCTTAGATCATGGCAATCATATAGCCATAAATCTGGACATTAGGCTTATATGAGCGGCCACTCTACAGGGTATGTGGCTTGTAGGCCGAGGCACGTGAACACTCAATTGTGGTGACAAGACTGTGCCATCTATTTGCAATGTTATTTTCTCTTTTTATGCATAAGCATTTTTAGCTTTTTTTGCCATTTTATGCATAAGCATTTTTAGCTTTTTTTGCCATTTACCAATGTCCATATTTGTCATTTGATTTGCATTATCCAGATTATCATCTCTCTCGGTAATCTACAACCTTTTTTTTGTAATATTCATTTTTCTGTAATACAACACTGGTCACTATGCCAGGAATATGATGCTGAACATGGAAATAGCATCCTCCATGGAGCTGGTGCTCTTCAAGTCATAGCTCATGGACATTACATTCTACATGCTTTTATTGATGGGAATAATGCAAAATCCCAAGAGGTTTGTGGACTCGTAGTGAGTCTTTTCCGTCACCCCAGCTAAGCTGAAACACTCATGATGGCAAGTTCATGTCACCAGATTTTCCCATGATAGCATGTTCACATCACCTGCCGCACGTGCTAAATCTTTTCATGACGTGATAGTCACGTCATCCGGGTCAACATGATAACAGTTAAAAAATCCTCTTGGTCTTATCTTGCACAAAAAAGGCTTCTTCTGTTACAGTCTCACTATTACAGAACAAGTTAAAATTGATTTTGGATCAATATTCATAATTTCCACTTCCAAAAATGAGCATATTTATTGTTGTAAAAAGTGTAAATGTGAGAGTTGTAGAGAAGAAAATATGTGTCAAGTAATACCAATAATAAATGATAAATACAGAATGAGAGGAAAATGCAAAGAAGCCATCACCAGCATGAAAGACAATCACAGCAAATCACAAGACCTTAAAACAGACTCACATCTTAAATTCTTCGAACTTGAGGTCCTGCTTTCCTTTCTTGCCGAAGAAGTGGAGTAGCAAAGTGGTGTCGACAACATGACTCTTCTGCAGCTCATCCTCCAGCACTTCCTCCACCTCACCATCCTCTGTCAAGTCATTGTGTTTGAGTCAAGCAGTGTTATATATTTTTTTTCTATCTGTTTATTTATTATCATTATTTCTTTAAATCTATTGTGATACAGTTTTACATTCAGTACACGGATCTCAAAAAATATGTGGGATGATGACAGTTATGATGATGATGGTGGTGATGAAAGAGGAGAAGCACAAATATAATGAGGAGGAAGAGGAAGAGGAAGAGGAAGAGGAGGAGGAGGAGGAAAAAGAGGAGGAGGAAGAGGAGGAGGAGGAGAAAGAGGAGGAGGAGGAGGAGGAGGAGTGGAGAAGAAGTAAGAAGAGGAGGGGGCATGAGAGGAGGAGGAAGATTAAGAGGGGAGGAGGAGAAGGAGGAGAGGGGAAAGGGAGGGCAAGGAGGAAGAAGAGAAAGAGGAGGGGGAGGAGGAGAGGAAGACATGAATAATAATAATGATGATGAGGGGATGAGTTGCAGGCTATCATATATTATGGCCTGAACAGTGGGAAATTGATGGTACTTCTCTTATGACTTATAGTCCACAGCAGGCAGGGTGTGACTGGCTGTCCCTACTAGTTGGAGGTTGTGGCTGATAGAACCTTAGCCTATCTCATACTGCTTGGCGGGGTAAAAGACTACCATATGATTTTTTTGAGACCAGATGTAAACCTGAGTATTCTGACAGTTATAGAAATTAAAATAAGGTTGCCTTCCAGAAAGCCAAAGAGACCAGATACCTTCATACCAACATAAGATTATTAAGTCTATAGATATCAGTGCCCTAGTATTTCTGAAGATACACACTAGTGTAAGTGTAAGTGTAATGAGGCACACCATAAATTCTTAAGCACTAAATATAATTCAGACAGATCAAAATTAGCTAATAATTGTAATTCACCTGTAAATATTAGCATAATTCTAAGGGAATGCACCTCCAGCTTTCACTAAGGTGTCCCTTCAATTCCTTTTCTGATATTTCTAACCTTGCAGCCCACCACTTAGTAGAGATAATTAGGATCTACTGCACTCATTTCCACAGTATTTACTTTGCAATAGTTTGTCATTGACATTTAACTGTCACAGTGACAATTGCCTATTCAGTTTTTGACAAAAGCACTCTCACATCTAAGTCTTCAAAAGGTAAATAAGTAATTCAGTACTTCTATCCATGCCATACATCCCTCCAGTGCCACCACTCTGTCAGATGTCTCTGCAGTGGCAAACAGTTCAGCCTAAAGGGTAGCCTGGAGGATGGCCCTTTAGAGTAGGGGCTATGTCCAGGATGGGCTGACTCCAGGACAAGTGTGTAGACAACATGATCAAGTTTTAGATCATGTGTGAAGGGGTATGACCTGTTGTATGGCCTGGGTCAAACACCAGTGAGTTCATGGTATGACTGGTCTGCCCAAAGTAGGCACGTATGATTGGATTTCCTGCACATTGAAGGGCATGATCTTGATGGGGCCTTGGCCTATCTCAGAATGAGGAGGAAGAGGAGGAAGAGAAAAAAGAAGAGAGGAGGAAGAGGAGGAGGAAGAGAAAAAAGAGGAGGGGAGGAAGAGGAGGAAGAAGAGGAGAGAAGGAATAGGAGGAGGAGGTTCAAGCAGGAAGGATGATGTGTAGTCAATGGATAAGAATAATGGTGATGATAATGATGCTTTAAAAAGATATGAGAGGATATTCCATGCATAAAAGGGTAAATTTCCTGTTTCATTGTCAGATATCTGGGTATCCTACATGTAACTCATTCCAAAAGAGGAGGATAAAAATAAATCTGTGTCATTCATTAAGTGTCACAATCACCTTACCTAAAGAAGCTAAATATGATTTCTCACAAATTCCTACAACAAGCACTGACAAAGAATATCGAATTTAATATCTGTTATATACTGCCCATTACTTACCCCCTTCTGTCTGTTTAACTGCTCCCTCCAAAGCTCGGTTTAGTCGGTCTCTGCGAGCAGTACTGAAGATCTTCTCAAGCTGTAAAATCAGTGGTCAATATTACTTTCATCACTAGTTTGCTCTGCAAGTTACAGTAACCAAATACTAGAAAAGCCTTTGCAGAGCTAATATATGTTCATGTTTCAAATCACAGCAATTTTTGCCACAAAATTATCTTCACATCAAGCACTTTTAAATACAAACCTATGAAATATAAATTCTCATGATATCAACAAATTACAATATATATACTGATCAGCAATTCTTATACTCATAAATGAAAGCCCAGAGAAATAGCATATATCTGAAGCGCAAGTCACACCACATGAGGTTGCGAAAGTCCCATCATGTGTTTTGAAATCAAATAGCTTGAAACACTCCATTGTCTAAAGTAGCAAACTATGTTATGACCACAGAAGGAATAATATCTGAAACTGTCACATTAGGGAGAAGAATAAGTTATGTGAGTATCATGGTACATGAAGAACATTGCAATCTATATTTGGCAACTAAAAACACATTTATTAATGATATTAGACTAGTTCTAACTATTTATATCTATGAAAAAGTCAATACACAGAAATATACAACAGCATCTCTGCTACAGGGGCAAAAAAGCATTTTCTTCCTCCTTTTAAATATCTTATCAGTCAATATTCACAGTAGTACACAAAGGTCATTATTATTGTAGGTCTAATAGATCAAACACATTTTCCAAAAATGGCAGGAAATACAATCATACAGGGAATAAATCCCTTTATATTCCCTGTTGGTCATCTAGAGAAGAAGATTTCAAGGAGAAATATAAGCAAACCCACAACCCAGAGGTCACAAATGCTGCTGGCCTGAGAGAACAATCCTTGAGCTTTGGCAGACATGCCTGGAAACTCCTGAAAAAATAGGCCATGACAAAGACTAGACAGTGCACAGCACCCATTTCTACAGATATGGAAAAAAACAAGAGCTCACAACACCAAAGCTCCTGTGAAAAGCTTGAAGATATGAAAAACTATGGGTATTAACAGGATCTACCCAGAAATACTTGTCACCTTGGAAAACAGAATATATAGTGGCTGGCCATGGCCATGACAGATATCAACACAAAAAGCAATTACTCTCTTATCTGAAGTCATGATGAAACTAAAGTTATAATCACATTTGGTGTAAACTAATCTACACTGCTGTCTCTTCTAATTTATTGAAGGAGTTATCTTATCTAGACCAAAAAGGGATCCCTCAGAACAAGTTCTTGCTTGACATTCCACAGAGATGCAAGCTATGACAATAGCAGAAATCAGGGGCAATCTGCACAGACCTGTCAGTAGCCTATGATACAGTCTCATGAAATAGATGTAAACTACAACTGGTTAGAACAATAAAATCTATGTAAATTTTGAATATCATAAGAACCCTGTTATTTCCAAAGTGTATTTTAGCAAGGATGTCAGCAAAGTTAGAAAAACATTTCCATACTGATTGGGCCTAACTCTTCTCATTCTTTTCCCCAGTGGCATACCAAGAACAGCTCTGAAATTTGGAAATGCACAAGTTCTGAATATAGTGCACCTTCAACAACGCATAACACTGAAATTATCAACTATCCCTTTTTAGCAGAATTCCACATAAAATATCTTGAGTTAACATGGAACTAAACTCCAACCTCCATGACAAATATTAAAGTCAATGCATAAAAAAATTGCCAAAACAATTTTGGCAACATTATGCTAAATTGTAGCACAGTAATGTGACTCAGAATAGCACTACATAGTCCACTCCTAAAAAAGTTAAGTAATCAAACAGGTCCTTAAGGATGATGCAGCAGTCCAACCTATATGAGTGCAATCATTTCCCCCACAAATCTGAAGAAAATAAGCAACTCAAAAGAAGTATGCATATCTGATAGACAAATACCTAAATACCCCATTGCAGCTTATGTTCAGTCCCAACTTCCTCCAGAATTAAATCCTGGAAACCTTGCTATAGGTGTAGACGAATAGAGTTCAACATTGCAGGAGTTTGGCTACATAAATGGCAAAAGAAAGTTCCTTTGGGGCAGAGGCCTGGACTGGACCCATGACTTTACATTACAACCAGGAACAATGGACCTTGGCAGAAAGACAAAGGTCAGATCATGGTAGAACAGCAATGAACATGTATTGCTATGGGCTGTAAGAGTCCCT